TCCCAAGAAGGATTATTACAAGGCCAATGACGTTCCGTACTACTGGAAGGCCAAGGAGGCCAGGGCCGAGTGGAATGCCAAGAAGGCAGTGTACAAAGCCAAAGCCAAGGCCGAGTATTTCAAAGCAAGGCACCCGGAGATCTTTGGCTACCAGAAGTGAGGCAAGCGGACTGTTCTCAGCTAGAGATGCAAATGGCCAAGTTCAAGTTGGCCGGTAGTTACTTGTAGGTGGAAGGTGAAACGGTGAGCCGTCACCAGATTTGGCCATGGGCCATTGTAGCACGAAGGCTTCTCCGACGTTGCACATGGAGTATGTTCAAGATGCAATCCAACATTCAGTTTGCACATCTCAGCTAGCAGCATATCCAAAGCCATACAGCAACTTGGTCTGACGATGCGCGCTGTGACAAGCAACGAGAGATTCGTGTTCCCCTTTCCTTCACACGGGCTGCAGCATCCTCCGAATGGAGATGCTGGGGTTTGTGGACGTCAAGTTCTAAAGTGTACGCTTAAGCGTATGCAGTCACCAGACTCCATACCAGAGCGAGGGACAAAAGCTTTGGGCTTCCTTGATGTGCAATCTTCTCACATAGGTTGCTTTGTTGTGCGGTTCTGCGTAAGCTTTCTGCTGCCAGGCCAGCAAGCCCTGATGGAGAGAGGTGAGCGTGCCATCAGCATTACAACTCTGCAATTCCGCAGAGAGAATTGGTGGAATCTGCTCTTAATGTGTCTCTGGGTGTATCCTGACAGAGTGGGTCTCCTTGATATGTGCATGTGATTCAAAGTGCCCTGGCAGCACAAGCACCTGCATGGTGCCGGAATGTAAAAGCAGAATTCACTCGGGCTACGTGTGGGAGCCCAAGGGTGCCTCTGATGCTCAGTGGGGGTCTATTTAAAGCATGAATAAAGGCATCACCGCAAGGTTCCGTCTTTCAGCGCACAGGGCAAAGCCGACCCGCTATACCATACTTTACTATTTTCTATTATGCCATACTAGACTAGGCTATACTATACTAGACTATACTATACTACACTACTGCATTCCCTCCATTTCTGGTCCCAATCTTTCAGCTTCCGAGATCCTGGGCAAACTCCGCATCTTTTTTCTCTGCTCTATGCTATTGAGCCTGGATAGTTGCAGGCTAGTAGCAGTAGGAGTAGTCGTGGCAGCAGCAGAACGACGTGTAGAAGCAGCATGAAGTAGGAGCAGTAGCAGTAAAAGAAAGTGTTGGAGGAACAGGAGTTTTTTAGGGGCAGGCACCGGCATCATCAGCACGCTTGGTCTGGATCTCAACATAGATATCCAAGTTGAAGGCTCCCCTACTTCTTCGATCCGACAGCGCACCTACCTGTGGAACCATCGGCAAGTCTGCTCTAAACTGAGGCCGTCATAACCCGTGAAAATAGCATCGTGAATTCATGGAGTCCTCATGCATGTTTGGCAACGTAGGCGGATTAGAATCTGACCCCTAATGACACTGATGATGCTGCGCCAGACGGTCACCAAGCCAAGAGAGAGTTTGGAGCTAGTGCAGCTAGTTTGCTAAACACCGCTTGCCCAGTAGTTTCTCAAAATAAGGAACCCCAATATAGACCCCAAAATGCTATAATCCTTAATTATGGGGACCTCCAAAAAGATACCCTCCAATTTTGGGAAACTACCAAATCCATCCGTGATCAGCTTCAGCAAGATATACCAGTCAGAGTCCGCTTCCCAAAATGAGGACCAGAAGGGCCGGGCTGTCCTCGTAATACTAATGCTGATAATACTGAAAAGAATGAGATGGATGTTAGAAATATTCATATCATTTATACATAACCAAATAAGTATTACTTAGTATTTCTGATTTTTCTCATGTCGTTAATGAGTAGTGATGCCTATATAAGTAATCGTATTACTAACAGTAGTAGGAGTAGCGTTAACAGTAATAGTCATAGTGATAGTCATATTCATAGGAATAGAAATAATTCCAATTTTAAAATCAGTTCTAATACCAATGATACCCTTGCTCCAGCAGTGGGTCCAGCAGTGGGTTACATAAGGGTACCGAAAGGAACAGGGAAACTATTGTATTAACTAGGGTATATATGGATGCTGTAGGGTTCGTTCAGGGATTACACTGGGATTGAAGGCATATATAGGGATTATACAGGGTTCAGGGTTTGGATACCACAACGGACAGTCAAACGGAAATGAAGCTGGAAAATGAAGCGGAGCAACTGTCGTTTTACAATCTGGATACCGGGGCCGGATTGGAGGTGCTGTGGTGGGGAGGGGATAGTTCTTAAAAATGTTGAAAGAGTCACTTTATGGGAAGTGCCAAAACATTGGCCCGAGCAGAGGGTCAAGCATCTCGGTTCAGATCATGCACGTCAGCACATGACATCGTGTAGCCTTTTTTGCATTGAATCTGTACGCTTGTAAAAAATCCAGTATCTTGTCTTCCAAGCTTTGCAAATGGAAGTTTGGAGTTTAGAGCAGAACAACTAGCAAAATCGCGTGCCAGGCACTCCCAAGTTGGAAGACGAAGCATTTTTGAAGCCGCTCAGTGCCAACCAACTTCTATGCTGATGCCTGCCTTGCTGAAGCTGGCAACATGAATTTGCAAAATGTGCCTGAAAATTCTTACCATCGAAAGCTGAATATTTACATGAGCTTCGACCACTACCTGACTCTTTCTGGTGGCTGCTCCACGAGCGCACAGACTGGCTGCATGCAACAAAAAGCCTCGGCAAACGTCCTGAACGTGCCTTCAGTTAAAGGCTCCGGCTCTTCCCTGGACCATTCCCACAGGATCTGAATTGTTTCCCTGCCGTGAGAAACCGATCATCTCATGTACACTAGCTGGAATGAGGGGCAAATCGCAAAGTGGGGGAAAGGTTGGTACTACCGGGGGAAAGGGAGGCCTCCTGCTGCTTTCCGCATGATCTTCGGCTCCAGGCCCCGTCAAGGATCCAGACAATACTGATGCCCCTCTTGTTGCAGGGGTTGGGGGTTTGTGTGAAGGAACAACATTACGGGAACCTCCACGAACCGAACATCCACTCCAGGGAGTGTTCAAGGAGCCTCAAGACAAGGCCTGAACTCTGCAAATGAAGGAAGTCGACGTGGCTTGCCAGGACAAAGCCCTCCGAGCATTTTGGCCCTCACGTTTTGAGAAGACACTCGGGCGTCAAAACGCCTTCAGGTTGCCTGCAGCCCGGGCGGAGGCGAGGAAAAAGACCACAGAAGCTTGGGCAGCGGAAGCCCCTGGATTGCCAAGTCTTAGTCCGACTGGCCTGGACACTGGTTATCCAGATCCCCAGAAAAATGATAGGCGACGCTCTGATGGTATTGAGCTGTCAACTGATTGGCGAGGTGTCCTATGATGAGCATGCTAATATGCTGTGTTGTTGTGGTCCTTTTGTCGGGGCCAGCGGATGTCCTTTTTATTCCGCATAGCAGGCCTTAGTACAGCTTGCTATCACCCACCACAAAACCTTGTTCTAACAATGATACTGATGATTTATTTAGGCCCCTCTAAGCAGGACTGCATCGGATTGTGGATGGGAGCTTATCTGAACGCTTCCGCCGTAGCTTTGTGCTCAGCCAATTTTAGGCACATTTGTTGACAGCATGCCTCCACGCGAGGAAGGCTTGCGCTCGGCAGTTGGAGTGGATTGCTGGCATATCATACAAGATAGAAGAGTAGTTTCCATTTTCTGTTCCGTTTTCCCTAAATAACCACAGTGTAACCCCAATATAGCCCCAATAAAACGAATATAACTCCTATAATCCCTGTACTTTCCATTTTCTTTTCCACCATCCCTTGACCCTTCAGAGCTGAGACTTGATGTCAACGGTGGTCACCCATATGAGCTATAGTCTAAACTCTTTAAATGGGGTTTTTTAGGGGATTATATAGGGTTTATATAGGGGTTATATAGGGATAATGGAAAATAGCATGGAAACTACTATATATTGGGGTTATATAGGGGATTGTATAGGGGAGTATTCTATCGTTTACTAAGGGGATACTGGAGTTTAGACTACAGCTCATATGTCGGTAGGAAATCGTTCAACGGTATGAGAAGTCTCTAGCGCTTTGTTGCGTGGTTGGTTGCAAGACTGCACTGGCTGTTGCTTGTTGCTGTAATGTGGAAATGGCAAGGCCTGTAATTGAGCTGACATCTTTTGAAGGCCGGTGGCGGCTGCTGAATCCCCTCAACATCCGTTTCTCGCAGCCTCGGATCGCCCCACACTTTCGGGACCGAGCGGCCGTCAGCACATGTCTTCATGCATATCAAGCCCCAGCAGCATCAAGGTGCTCCTTGTGTCTTTTTGGTTCCGGGAGCGGACAGAAGGTATGAAGGCTCACAGCAGGATGACGTACGGTCCAGCATGACATGGCTACAGCCTCAATATGAGCTATAGTCTCAACTCCTAAAAGAGGTTATCTCGGGGATAATATAGCTGAGTTTTATAGTTATAGGGGTCATTCAGGGGGATAATTGGAGTATTGACCCCAAACCCTAGACACCCTAAACCCTGACACAGTAAGGCAGAGTGCGGAATGTGCGCTTCTCAAGCTATGAGTGGCTCAGTGGTAGCGCAAGTGCTTGGGTTGCTCGTGAACGGTTCTGCTTCCAATTGGTGGGGTTTGGGGTGCCCCGCTCATTGTTCGGCTTCCGTTGGCCTTGTGGCTGCTATTTGGGTTTCGGGGTTCTCTTGTGGGGCTCTGGCTGCTGTGTACTACCTGAGGGTTTTGGTGTTCGCCGGGCCCCCTGTATCCACATCTTCATCCTCTCGAGATCCACCCGTGCATAGGGCTTGCCCTCCTTCTGCATCCACTCGTCTGGCCGCATACCGTGCGTGAGCCTTCCAGGCGCACGCCCTGACCCTGCCAATCTGGACACCGAGGCCTTGGCTGAGGCCTTTGAGCAACTTGCTGTTGCTACCTCTTCCCTTGCACGCGCCCTTCGGCCTGGCACCTCTGAGTGGGAGGTGGCCTCTGAACCTCCCGAGACTGTACCTCAGGCCGCCCTTTCTCCCCTCAAGCATCACCTGCATCCCGTGCGCCTGTTCCTCAGGCTTTTTCTCCTTCTCGTGTGCCTGTTCCTCAGGCGACTGCATCTTCTGTGCCTGTTCCTCAGGCTGCCTCATCCTCTGTGCCTGTTCCCCAGGCTGCATCAGGCTACGACCTGGCCTTTGTTGCTTCTGCTCCGCCTTGCTCTTCCTTGGTTCTAGGTCCCTAAGGTTTAGGATCCCTAACCCGCCTGCCATTCCTCAGGACCAGGTGTCTGCTAAGTGCCTTCACCTGTGCTCATCGTTGGTTTCAGCTGTTAGGCTGGATCGGGCTCAGCGGGCTTGGGACGCAGGTCGAGCAGCTGCCTGAGTTCTGTCTGGGGAAACTGATTGTGTCCCCCCTACTCCAGAGATTGCTGTCCGGTCTCGCTTCTACGTGGTTCTTAGGAACCTTCGGGGCACTTTGCCTGCCGTGTACCGGGACTTCTCTTCCTATAAGCGGGCTCTAGGTACCCTGCTGCCTGGCACCATCTGCCACGGCTTCCCTACGGAGGGGGAGGCTAGGACGTACTGCAAGGCTGCCGGCAGACCATATCCCTCGGACCAGTGATGGAGGCAGCAAGTCTGGCTTTGGCCATAGATGGCTTTTGCACGCCGTATGTGGCATCTCATCCCTTAGTCTCCTTGCAGGATGGGTCGGAGACCCGTGCACTGTGCATTCCGATTATGAGGCGAGTTTTTGTTGGCGCTGCCTTCAGGGTGCCTGCCCAAGCTTTAGCAGAGGGTCTGGACGCAGCTCCAGACACAGTCTTTGGACCTTCCACCAACCTAACTGTCCAGGCGGTGGAAGAAGCAGGCTGTTGCAGCTGATGCCCGCCATGTCGAATCAGATGCAGGACCGATGCAGCGACAACAGCAGCTTGAAACCAGAGTGTCAGAAGTAGGCACTGCCCCTCCTGCCTCCGCACCGCCAGCAGTTCAAGTTCCCCCGCTGCCAAGGGCGCGCCAGTGCCAGGCCTATCTCCCTAGTCACCTCAGGCCTCCGAGAGTTGGCCGCCAGTACGGGGGCCTTCATGCTGGCTGTGGCCCAGAATGGCTTCCAGCGTATGTACCCCTCAGTGCCTGTGCCCAGGGACTTGGAGACTCTGATGCAGGAGCCGAGGTCCTTCCACTTCTCCCAATATCTCGAGCAATACGGGGGATATCAACAGCAAACAGACTTGGGAGTCATGATGTTCATGTTGTGTCAGGTGGCCGACCTCATGTTGGCAGGCAACTAATTGGGGGCCATGGACAGGCTAGCCTTAGTGTTGGTGGCAGTGGAACAGGCGGCGCAAGACGCTGGCCGGTGGGAAGTGGCCCACACGCTTTCCCTGTTCCCCAACCCCCCTCGCACCGTCTTTCAAAGCAGAGGAACTCCTTACAACCCTCGTGTGCGGGCGTGGGCACCGCTATGCCCAACCCCCTGGGCAACAGTTGCCGTACTTCAAGGAAGCCGATTCGATACTGGCCCGACGGAAGCCAATGCTGGCGCTGCTCCGCCAAAAGGCAGCGAAGAAGGAGGCGAGCAGCCAAAAAGGCCAAGGCGCCGCGCTTTCCAAAGGCGCCGAAGCAGGAAAAGTGACGCTCCTTCCTCCCCAACCCGTGTTGGAGGGACCCCTCCCACTCAATGCCTCTGCCGCTCATAGCCCTAATTCACCTCAGAGCCCGTGCTTGGCCCGCCCGGGCCTTGCTCCGTGTTCCCAGCCTGTGCACCAGGATGCTCCTAAGCTACCATCCTCCCAGCGCAGACAGAGCCCAGGCTGACAGGCTCACCTTCCGGAGGTGGTCGTTGTCTTTTGCTTTCCGTATACTACACGCCCTTTGCTGCCTTCCTGGCTTCCGCTTTGCACCTTACTCAGGCACCTTCGTCGCTGCCTGCCAAGTCTCTGTTCCCGATGCCCCTGCCTTTCTTTGGCATTTTCAGACCCATCGACCCGCAGATCGCACCTTCGCATAGGCGTCAGGCGCGTGGTTGTGGTGACCGGGGTGCTTCCCTCCTCTTGCTTCCCTGCGGAGGCCGCCCAACTTAGCACAAGCCAAAGCCTTCTGCTCGACCTGGATACCAGCGCTCGGTATGATGCCCTCCATCCTTTCCGCAGCTCGGATGCCTCCCGGCTTGTGCTGACCGGCTCTGGTCTTTGGGATGCTGCCCGGCGCATGGATGACTCTCTCTACCTTGCGTATGTGGAGCCAGACTCTCTGCTTCGCCCTCGTGCAAGGCCGCCTTTACCAAGTCAGGTTCCAGCTCTGTGCTGCAATTGGCATTACTGTGGGACACAAAGGGCCTTTTGCGGCTCTTCCCTGCAGGGCCGTCTGCCTGCCGCCCCCATGAAGGGGTGAAGGTGTTCAACTCCCTGAAAAATGCCTCCACCGACAGGATGATCGCAGACGGGCGGGGTAGATACGAGGCTGCCATTGCAGGGTTGACCTCCTTGTGTGTCAACCCCGCTTGCTCCAGACTGTCCCTGAACCTCACGGACAGAAAAGATTTCTACCGTCAGATGGGGGTTTCCTTGCAACGTGCCAGGCGCAACATTTTGGTTCCTGCTTTCCCTGCTTTTGAGCTGGCCAAGACTGCGGCTTTCGAGGCTCTGTCTGTTTCTCCATTCAAGGCCCATCCTCGGGAACTTGCTGGCAACCATTTAGGGGGGCCGGGGCCCAGCCCAAGCAAGCCAAGCCCCAGCTGCCTGAGTACTTGTTTGCGCGGTTTGGTGCAGTGATGCAGGGAGATAGGGGTTGAGTTTGCCTGTTCTGCGCATGCAAATCTTCTGACCCAAGGGGGTCTTCTGCAGGATGCCTCGCGTATCCTTGGCTCTCGCCCCTTCCCACTTGGAGGCGAAGAGGGACTCCTCGAGGGTTTAGTGATCGACGACTACTACACCATCTCCTGTGTCCATGCGCCTCTTGGCCGGGAAGCACCCGCCTGTACTTCCGCCGCCGCCAAGTGCCTGTTGCGTGCAAAGGAGCTGTGCAAGGCAGAGGGCTTCCTCGGGTCAGAGGAGAAAGACGTCGTCGATTCTGCGTGTTGTACGGTGGCAGGAGCAGAATTGGATACATCCAACTTCACCCGTAGCGCTGGCGGGGCCTCCCTGTGCCAAACGCATAGCGCTTTCAGCGATCACTTTGGAGAGTTGCCGCCTCCCCTGCACCAGTGAATATTTACACCTCTGCCTTACTGGTGGTTGGGTGTCAGCATGCATGTATAGACGCCCCTGCGTGTCCATCCTTAACTCCGCCTTCCATTTAGTGGATGCAGCTCCAGTCGCCCGAGCTTCTTCGCGTGTGCTTCCATTGCCTAGGCTTGTGGCAGACGAGTTAGTCCTCACCCTGCTTTGTGCCACATCATTGTGGCTGACATATCAGCACCATGGTCGGATACTTTGTTTGCCACCGACTCTTCGGATGCCAAAGGTGCTGTTGTTGCGGCGGCCTTTACCCCCTCTGAGACTGAACGGCTGTGGACGGCTACCTCTAAGCTGTCAGAATCTGCAAAGCTGCTGTCTCGTGAGGCGGCTGCCCTCAGGCGTGTTGACCCTTTGCGCGAAGAGAGGCCTGATTTTGCCGCTGCTGCTCCAGCCCTTGGCCCCAAGAAGTCGCCCGCTCTCCGCTTTCATTTCATAGAAGTTTGCGGTGGCGCTGGAAAGATTGGAGCTTGCCTTGCTCGAAGCGGATGGACCATCGGCCCGCTTTTGGACTTGTCTGTCTCGCCTCAGTACGACTGGACTTCGTGTCGCGTTTTCTCTTGACTCTGCCACCTTGTCGAATCTGGACTGGTAGATGCCATTTTCATTTCTCCTCCCTGTACAACTTTCTCGGCTGCAGCCTTTCCCTCGCTGAGGTCGTGCCGCCTGCCGTACGGGTTCAACCCAAAGCACCCTGGGACCCGGCAACGTCCTGGCTTTGAGGTCATTGGCCCTCATGCACATCTGCCATCGGCGTCGCATACCGTGTGCCCTCGAACAGTCTTTACTGTTGGCTGTGCATTTGGGATGGCGCATATGAAACCATGGAGGTTCCTCACTGTGGCCTTTGATGCTTCTAGGGTGGCACGTCGCTGCGCCAGGGACCACCAGCACATTAGGGTCCAGGGGAAGTCCAAAGACTCAGCTGTGTTTACCGACGCTCTTGCCGCGGAGCTGGCAGAAGCATTTGCCATTGCCATACGTAGCCGCCTGGCTGCGCTTGAGCTGCATGCTCTCGATGCTGAGGGGCTGGAATCCCCCTATGTGAACGAGCTGGCCCTTGGCAAAGAGTGGACTACCTGCAAGGTCTGGACTTGGCGGCGCCCGACTCACATAAACCTCCTTGAGACTGCTAGTGTCTACCGCCTCTGCAAGCACCTCGCCTGTGAGTCGGGCCCCACTCGCTTCTGTTCACTTTGTGACTCCAATGTCGCACACTGTGCCATCACTAAGGGCCGGTCGGGTTTGAAAAGGATCTCAGCTGTTTGTCTGGGTTTTGGACTTTACCCGCAGCTGCCTTTCTGCCCTACCAGACACAGCCTGCAGATCACCCCGCCAGGGACTCACCTTTTCCCCCTCCTCAGCCGACCTTTGTGCCTCAGCCCTCAACCCATGCCCTTGCGCCTCCTGCCACGTGTCAGGCGTTGGCTGGCCAACTGGGTTAGGCTAGTCTGCCTCGCCTCCCAAGTGAAGCCTCTTTCCCTAATTGGCTGTCGTGATGCAAACCGGTCATGGCGCACCTATGTGCCCTCCCCTTTGGAATTCGACTCATCTCTGGGGTACCCCGGCGAAGGGCCTTGTCATTTCTTGGGGGTTGGTTTCTTCAGGGTCGGGGTCTTCCTGCTTGCTTTGCTTGCTTGGGTAGGCTTGTGCCATGGAATGCGCCCGCAGAACGCTGGAGATGAGCTTAGGCAGACTGCCCGCGCTCCTGTGCCTCTACCACAAGGCAGACCCGTCGAGGCAAAGACCCAGAAGCTGCGTGATTACCTTTGGCTACAGTTTTTGGACTGGTTGCACCAGGTTGGCATCGACGATGCGTTATTCCTGGAAACAGCTGGCCTGATCGACGTCGACTCGGTTAACGCAGTTCTGGCACGTTTTGGAAGGGAGCTGTGCCAGGCTGGAAGGCCCTACTCTCAGTTCTCGGAGACCCTGAACGCTTTTACGGCTCGCGCGCCGAAGATTCGGCGGGTACTCCAGCCGGCCTGGGACGTGGCTTACGCGTGGAGACGCGTCGAACCTGGCCAACATCATACAGCTATGCCCTGGCAGGTCCTCATCGCTTGTGTTTCGGCGGCTTTACTGTGGGGCTGGCCGCGGGTCGCAGCCATATTCGCTTTGACGTGGGGAGGCCTGCTTCGTATAGGTGAGGCTCTGTCGGCTGGGCGGCGCGACCTCCTTTTGCCTAAGGACGTGGCACACACATCCGACTTTGTCCTCCTGTCCATAAAGGAGCCCAAGACTCGTTTTTCTGCGGCTAGACATCAGTCGGTGAAGGTCGACCAGCCGGACCTCGTAGAGCTCATCACTTTGGGCTTTCAGCACCTTCGCCCGGATGAAAAACTGTGGAACATGTCTGCGCAGGCTCTTCGCACCAGGTTCAAGCAGATCTGCTATGCCCTCGAACTGCCCTGCCAACCTCGGTTGGGCGTGTTACATCTGGAACTGTCTTCTCTCCGTGCTGGAGGGGCCACCTGGCTCATGTTAGCCTCCGACGACTCCGAACTCGTGAGGCGACGGGGTCGTTGGCTGACCCCGAAAATCATGGAAATATATGTTCAAAAAGTTTCGGCTCTGCAGTTCCTGCCCACCTTGAATGAAGCTGCTAGAAGCAAAGTTTTTCAGGCACTGGAAACTTTTCCTCAGCTGGTTGCCACTGCCTCCTTCTTTGCTTCGTTTGGCTTGTTGCCGAGTACTTGGTACAATTTGCTGGCCGCTGGGATGCATGCTTGAAAGCACAATCTGGATGTTATTGGGTGAAGGCTCTGCTGCTTTTCCTCTGCGGTAAACCGCGCTTGTGACCACGCCTACAAGGTGCAAAAGAGTGCGTGCACTGTTTTGCGCTCACCGCTTGGAATGAACACGAGGCCTTGACACAGTAAGGCAGAGTGCGGAATGTGCGCTTCTCAAGCTATGCCCTCCCTGCCGCACCCGCACCCAGCGGCTCTGCTGCTTTTCCTCTGCGGTAAACCGCGCTTGTGACCACGCCTACAAGTTGCAAAAGAGTGCGTGCACTGTTTTGCGCTCACCGCTTGGAATGGAACACGAGGCCTTATATAATTTCCTATACCCCCCATTCCACCTTAAAGGAGTTTAGACTATAGCTCATATACTTCTTTTCTAGAACGAAACCGCAGCACTCTATTTCCACAACTCATGGATGTTCCGATTCAGGGGAGAGGAGGATGCGCTTGTGGCTTTAGACTCTTAGGGAATCTGGGAATATGGGATATATTGGGGTTGTATAGGGATAATGGAAAAGAAAATGGAAACTCGTACATTGTAATAGGGTAGATATTGGGGTTATAGTGGGGAATAAAGGAATAGATTCTCTAGGGAACATAGAGATTTTATATCCTTATTCCCTACTAAGAACCGTTAACCTCCCAAAATTCGTAACTCTACAAACCATCTGCGAATTTCAGCAAGTACTCCACACCTCCTATTACCCCAACATATGCCCTGTTATGATGAAGTAGTTTCCATTTTCTTTTCCATTATCCCTTTATTATATTCCGACGCTAAACAAGCAGCCTTGGGTTGCAACCTCACTAAGTGCAGTGTTGAGTCCAACCCAGTCGGAGGATTCCAGGCTCTTTCTCCAATTTTCCAAACTCTAAACCCTAAACCCAACAACCTTTTGAAAAAACCTTAAACCCTATCCAACAATTCTGCCAGTTTTACAGGACGGTCACCTGATCAAGGAGACGGTGACAGAGGCTGTGCAATTGACCAGCTAAACTCGATCCGGAGATAGGAGTGGGTGTGTTTTGGTGGTTTTCGCCGGAATCCCAATTTGTTTACTCTCATTTTGGGAGATTTCAGGTCAAAGGAGCAATCACAATTCTATTCCTGCCCTGCATTTGCAGAGCTTCTTAGTTGGGGTCTCGTCGGAGGTTAGGCCTAGTGAAGGGCAAGCTGATGCATGAGGTGGCTGCAGACATTGGTGCATTGAGGAAGGTGTTCAACATCTTCTTCACGTTCCATGACGCTAGCACAAATTTGGCAGTCACAGGGAGTTGAGCACCAGAACCGCTCATGGGAGCCATGAATTGTGATGCCTAACCCCCCTTGGCAGATCTTCGAAGCGCCGCTGCAGGCGACCCCTTCTGCGCATGTGCCACTCTGATGTCCTTGAGTGCCTGCAGAGCGCTTCATCGCTTGGATTCCACGCTATTTGGGCTGAATTGCCATAATGGACTGTAGCCCTAAACGCTTGTCCAAGCCTTGTGTTGAGGTTTGATCTGGTGTTGTGTGGGACGTTGACTGCAGGACCCAGCCTATGCGGGAGTTGGCAGCGTCGATGCGGCTGCGGGAGTTCCGCAGTACGATGCGGTGGGGGCCTTGGGCATGTCTGAGCTCTTCAGTTTATGGCGAAAGTCATGGAAGCCCAAGACAGGCAGGAAAGCAACATGTAGTGGGATAGCCCCTGCAACAGGTCCTGGTCCCGCCGTTTCCCGCGATCAGGGTCATCTCCTGGCTTCCGAAGCTGCGGCGGCCAGACGGCGAGGCCGTTTGTTGCAGGGTAGGACACTTCACAAGCTGTTGCGCACACACACATTGCACTTGCTCTGCACTCGCTTCGCACTTGTTTCGTCATCCCCAATCGGATTGAAGCCCATTCGGCTGTAGTCCTACCGAAACGTCATATCCGGCCTCGCTTGGTGCCTCCAAGCATGGCGCTTGCCTCCTTGCTTGTGCTGTTGGCCGGCACGCGGCACTTAGTGCTCGCGGACGAGGTCTCAGAGTACGAGGGGCAGCCCGCTTTCCTCGTGCAGTCCGACAGCGGAGGTGACTTCTGCGCAACGGACAAAATTTGTCAGGAAATCTGCGACACGGATTTCATGGTGTACCCGCTGGATGAGAAGTGCATGGACTACTGCCACGAGGACATCCACTACATTTGGGACGTTTTCGACAACTCCTGCGGGGAGGGCATCAAAGACCAGCACAAGTTCTGTGCAGACCTTTGCTATGACGGCTTCTACTGCGGGGAGGCAACATGTGGCCCATGTGAGTCCAAGTGTGTGCAGGAGTTCAGCTTGGTCCAGGAGATCTTCGACTATTGCGCGGACTGCGATGCACCACCTCCTACAGCGACAGACGATTATGACAAGTGCTACAGCGATGATGCTGACAAATGCTACGACATGGAGTGCTGGTGCAAAGAGGTCTGCGACATCGTCAAGTGCCCGCATTGCGAAAAGCTCTGCTACAAGAACCAGGACAAAGTGCGGTCAGTCTTCGATCGCTACTGCGACTGCGGCTTTTGTGATGTGACACCGTCATCCACAGAGGATGCAGGCTTGCTGCAGGTCCGCATGCTCACTGAGGCGACTGACTCATGTGGCTGCCGAAGTGAACACCAGTACTGCTTCGACCTTTGCAAGGGTCTCGGTTACAGTGGGCCCGGGCTGGGACGATGCACCGAAGACTGCTTTTCGAGCGGGAAGTTTGGGGATCTCTTGGAGGATTACTGCTATGAATGCCACGACGACCCGCACTACCCTGATGATGGCTATCACAAGGGCGAGTACCACAAGGGTGACAAGACCACCAAGACCACTACAACCACAAGCACAACCACAACCAAAGCAACCACCACAACAACCACAACCACAACCACAACCACAACCACAACCACAACCACAACCACAACCACAACGACCACAACGACCACAACGACCACCACGACAACCACTACAACAACAACGAAGCGGTACTACAGGCCAAATCAGGGGTACCATTACAAGACGACCCAGCCGTGGTACAACTACAAGACAACTCAGCCGTGGTGGAACTACAAGACGACTCAGCCGTGGTGGCACTACAAGTACTACAAGACGACAAAGACCACGACAACCAGTCCGTCCCCCACGACGACCAAGGCATACCACCCAACGAAGAAGGAGTGGTGGAATTACAAGTACTACAAGACGACTCAGCCGTGGTGGAATTACAAGTACTACAATTACAAGACAACGAAGACCACGACCGCCAAGCCGATGGAGGCTTCCACCACGACCAAGAAGCGTTACAATCCCAAAAACTACTACCCGGCCCCTGGTCCTGCGTATTACTGGAAGCCCAACTCGTGGCAGCACAAAGGAAAGCAAGCAAAGGCCAAGGCCTCGTACTGGGGGAATTGGAAGTACTATGTCGGTGAGTCCCCACAGGGAATGGAGGATGCGGAGCAGTATGTCGGAGAGTCCACTGAGGGAATGGAGGATGCGGAGGAGAACTCCCCCGAGGACATGCAGGATGCGGAAGAGGATGTCGGAGAGTCCCCTGAGGAAATGGAGGATGCAAAGCAGAACTCTGAACCAGAGGCAGAAAAGGCCGAGTAGTATGTCAAGGAGCAAATCTGAAGCACCCGGAGCTTGACGACTACTGACATCAGGCTTTTAGATGTAATACCGCCGAATAACCAAGTTCCGAAATTTTTCGTAGGGCTCGTGCAAAGCTAATTGCACGGGGTCTCATTTGTTTGCATTTTTTGAGGGCAGCGCGCAGAATACAACAAGTTCCAGGGCTACAGCTAGTGCACATACTTACTGACAGAATCCGCTCGCACTTTCGCAAAGATCTGTGCAAGCGGAAACTAGTCATGGTAAGGCCCAATCATTCTGAGCTTGCATGAAACATTCATGGAGCGCTGCAGCTACATGTCCTCATCCAGACTTCCTTCTGCTGCTAAATCATCATTTGAGCATTCTTGTGCGCTGCCCGATTCTGCAACCTCCAAATGGAGGAGTTGCTGTTGCTTATATGCAGTTTGTGCGGCTACTTCGCACGTCACCCGGTTTGAGCAGACAAGAAGAATCAGCATTTCCCATGCGGAGCTACTAGCAGTTACCAGCATCTCGCGAAAAACCGTATAAGAAGGGGTCTGCCAACCTACCACCCTCAAATCCCGGGGATGCAAATAGCCACAAGCGTCTCACCTCCTGCACACTCAGCAGAGTGCTAGTCGAGTGCAGGGTTGGCATGTGCGCACGCGTAAAAGTTGGGAGTCTCAGTGTCTTTGCTGCAAACTTTGTTCCTTCAGCTTTGTGACGACAGCTTCCTTCCTTTCTGTGTAGCTTCGGGACTCGGAACCTCGAAAAAGCAAGGCAGAGCGGGATGCGAACGGAGATCAGCTCCTCGGAAAGCGGGCTTGGCAGCTGCCTCGGGCGGCTTTGAAAGCTGACACAAGTTGTTTGCAGTAATGGTCAAAACCCAAATGAACAAGGATTGATACAAACGGCCCGCACTTTGGCTCAGTTCCCTGCTTCATCCTGCTTTGCTTTCTTGTCAGGTTAGAAGAGCATGGGCATGAGAAAGCTCGCCCTTTTACCTCTGCTGCTTTCTGCTGGGCCATGGCATGTGCAGGGCACTGAGCAACCACCTGCCTCAGTTCCCCAGGATGAGAAGCCTGCGTTCCTGACCTTGAAGTCCAGCGTCGTCGACACATGTAGCACCAATGCCATCTGCAAGCTGATCTGCGACACTGACTTCGAGGTGTACCCCATGTATAAATGTGACCAGTACTGCCATGAGGACATCGACTACATTTGGGATGTGTTCGACTCCTACTGTGGTCCTGGGTTTGGTGATGGCCACTTTTTCTGCCAGGATCTGTGCTACGATGGTTTCTATTGCAAGGGCAGCTCATGCAAAAAATGCGAGCACGTCTGCGCAGCGGAGCTTGACCTGGTCCACGAGATCTACGACTACTGCGCAGACTGTGACCACAAATATGATGATTATGGTGATGATTCCTATGAAAGTGACGACTACCACAAGAGTGACGATTACCACAAGAGTGATGATTACTACAAGACCAAGGCACCGACCACCATGGCCACCACAACCACCACGACCACCATGGCCACCACCACCACCACCACCATGATCACCACGACCACCATGACAACAACCACATCGATGACAACCACCATTCCGGAAGAGTGCAGCGCCAACGAAAGCTTCAAGTGCAAAGAGGTCAAGTGTTGGTGTAAAGCGATCTGTGACATCACTGATAGCCCGAACTGCAACCAGCTGTGCCTGGAGAAAGAGGCCAAGGTGTGGCCCTTTTTCGAGCGGTACTGTGAATGTGGGTTTTGCCATGCAAGATACGACATAGAGCAAGAGGAGACTGGCCTCCTGCAATTTCGAGTGCAGAGTGCTAGCTCTGGCTCAGGATGCGGCTGCCGAAATGAGCGCCAGTACTGTGCAGAGACTTGCAGAGGGTTAGGATACCGGGGAAATGACCTAATGCAATGCACAGACAACTGCGACTCAAGCGGCATGTTGGGGGTCATGCTTGACGAGTACTGCCACGACTGCAGCAAGGACTACAAGAGCACAACTACAGCGACAACTACGCAGCAGATGCATGAGACAACGAAGCCCAACTACAAGAGCAATCAGGGCTACAACTACAAGACAACTCAGCCGTGGTGGAACTACAAGTACTACAAGACGACTCGGCCGTGGTGGAACTACAAGTACTACAAAACGACGAAGACCACGACACCCAGTCCGTCCCCCACAACCACCAAGCCTGACTACCCTGCCACGAAGGACTACAGCCCGACCCCAGATGTTCCGCACTACTGGAAGGCCAACTCAGCAGAGTCCAAGTGGAAGGCAGAGCACGAAGCAAGGGCAACATATTGGAAGTGGAGATAGTCCTCAAAACAGCAAGAGGCCAAGTGGTAGGCCAATGGGCAAAGCTCCCGGCAAGGGGCCGAGTATTTCAGAATGAAGCACCCAGAGATATTCGGCTGCCATAAATGAGGCAGATTTGTTGAAGCTGAAAGTGGCTGGCGCTGTCAAGTAAGGCTTCAATTTGCACCCCGGCTATGAGAGCTATATACGTTCTAATGCAGCCAGACTTTCCAGCATTTTAAATGTCTGCTTCAGCATGCACTTTCCTCGCAAGCTAATTAAGTCTGACAGGAAGACGCTTTGTAGCAATTTTGTTCTCATGCGCGCAATTCTCTCGTTACGTTTGTACAAGTGTCTCTTGCGAGCCCATGCTCCCGTCATTAACATTCAGAGCTTGCGTGCAGCTCATTGAGGGGTTACCAAAACATGACTGCCAGCCCTCCGAACGGAGGTTCTTGGCTTTATGCAGGGCCTTGCCAAGTGGCCACTGGCACAAGCAGCAGATTGCTCGTTGTGCAGATGGCAGGGTATGCCTCAGCATGGGGTTCTGACTTACAGCATACATGTACTTGTACTGAGGGCAATTCCACCTTGAGGCATTCTCAGCAACCCGTTGACCGCAACGAAATCCTGACCGCACGAAAAAAGAGTTTGCATCGTGGTTGCAGAGTTCCAAGTCAGCGTTGCCAGACTCCTGCAACACTTGTCTCTCGCGCCAGTTGCCTGTCGGCGGTTTTGTCCTTTGTAGATATTTGTGCGCTTTTCTTGCTGTTTGGCCTGTTGCTGTCTGGCTGTCTGTTATACTCCTCCTCAGCATCTTCCTGGCAACTAAGCACACGCCTAGCCCATGAGCCAAGGTTTGCCTTGGACAACCGACGGCTTTACTCACTGCAGCTGACGCCTTGGGATGTTCCCCCTGCATGCAGCTCTTTTTTGTAGATGTGCACTCCGAAGCATGTTGTACCCCAGCATCCACAAGTATGAGGAGCCCCATTCTTAATGCCAATTTCTCGAGAAATTCCTCCGGCTGGCCAAAGCCTGATGCTTGTTCAAACCTGTGGAGACTGGATCTCCGTGCTCCAGAGGCTGTCATTGGGCCTTGAACCTTTTCCATCCGTGGACATTTGTGGGCTAAGGGTTCCCAAACTCTGCACCATCCACGCGTGCCTTTGGATTAATTGCAAAGTATTGCTGGATGGGTGTAGACATGCGGTTTGGGGCGCCCTTGATACGCAGAGTTTAGGTTTCTGAAGGTCGATCAAACTTGAGCCCGGGCTTTACTTCCAAGGTGCGCAGCTGCAAAGCGATTTCCGCGGCGCTGTTGTGCTCGTTGCTCAGTCACTAAAGTCTAATGCTTGATGGGTTTGCAGTCGAAGAGTCAACAGGTTGGCCGCGGGCAGTGAGGAGTCAGCTTAAACCTTGTTTGTGTGCGAGATTTAGGAGTTGCCTGTGTGTTGCCTCAATGCTTCAGATCCTTCGTAACTTTGGGCTGTGACGCGGCTTGCTGTCCGAAACTTTGCGGAGCCTTTAGAACAAGTGAGCATGTGAATGAGACACGAGCTTGCATACTTTGCATCATGAGATTCTGCCCAGCCTTTCAGGCCTGGCTAGTTCTGGGATAGGTCTCTATCAGCCATGTCACTTGCCATGTTTGCATCTGAGCTCTTTCCTCATGTGTTTGCCGTGCGAGGTCGTAGTACGCTGCATCGAGGACTGCAGCACGCTTCTGCAATCTTTTTGCGGAAGATGAGCAGGTTGCACACCTTGGCGGCTATGACTCTTGTTGCCGTGTGTTTGTTGCAAATTTCCCTACCCTCCCTCCTGAGGTAGTTCAGGCATACTGCAGGAATCTGCAGGAATCTGCAGGATGCTTGTGATTGCAGTACCGTCTTGAATGAAGGGCAGAATTTCACCAAGCTGGGAAAAGTATGCTGCCTCGGAAACTCCGTGGATTCTTCCTGGATCTTCTTGGGACGGTTGCGAGAGCGACGGACTTTGTTGAGGACAGGGAGGCAGTACAGTCAGTCAGTGGCATCACTGAACCTTGAAGGAGAGACGAGAGAAAGCTTTGCGATTTCGGTGGACAGATTCGCCGTTGCTAAGATGGTTTTATATGCTGTGTACATTGATCTGGGAGTGTAATCGAGAGGCTTGTATGCCACCCTGATATGGGTTGTGGAGGTGAGGTTTGCCTTTGAACCCGCGGGTGAAACATGCAGTATCCCCGGCCTTGTAGTCCCGACCGAACAGACTGCAGGCGTGCAAGGCCAGGCAGCCTAGCTCCTGTCCCCCTCCTTTGGAAATGGGATAATGGGAAAAATGGGAACCATTATAGTATAGTGGCGTAATATTGGGGTGATATGGGGATAATGGAAAAGAAAATGGAAACTACTATACTACATTGGGGTAAGCCTGTATCAGAAGAAGAGAGCCTGTGGAGCCGACGAGGGCAGCGGCCAGCAGCCGGAATCATGGGTTTTGGCTGTAAGGCCTGCAGTGGGCCACCGTGAAGTGTGTTTGGAATCATGTGGCTTGCGTATGACCATGACCGCTGTGAGGTGATGAAAGTAATGCGCAAGCCACCAAACCCTGATCAACCCAGTGCCCTGCCTGGAAACCAGGTAATCCCAATATTACCCCAATATGCTGTAGTAGTTTCCAATTTCTTTTCCATTATCCCAATATTACCCCAATATGCTATAGTAGTTCCCATTCTCCCATTATCCCCAATATACTATAGTAACTATAGTAGTTCCCATTTTTCCCATTATCCCCTGAAGAATGTGAGGACGTGCCGGGTGGGGAGAGCATTCGGGAGCTTCGGAAGCCACCTCCTGAGTTTCAGCTTTGGGGTTTAGGGTTTAGGGTTTAGGGTTGGGGATGAGACAAATTCACCAGGTCGTTTGTCAACTCCCAAACAGCATTTGGGGGGGGGGGATGGGGGGGAGCAAAGAGATGTATATATACATATATATATATATGTATATGTATATATGTATAGAAATTTATGTACATATTTACATGTATGCATACCATGCTTTTCCAAAAGCATTGCTTAAGTGCCCGATGCTGACGGCTCCCAGACCGAATCTATTTGTGCTTGCAGGATTGAGTGGTTGTTTATGTTTCAGACTTAGGATGTGAAAGCACAATATCAGCTGTTGGCTGAAAGGGGTTTAGATTGAAAATCAGGATTTCTGGTGAGTGTAATAAGCACATGCGCAGAGCGACCAACAAAGCCATCATAACTGAAATGCTTACCCGAATTCGCGCTAGTGACTCTTGCCATGAGAGCATCAACAACCAGCTGCAAGAACAGCAACAGCGCTAGACACGGGAAAAGATTAAGAAAATCCCGTCCAACAATAAGTGCCAGTGCCACTTTAAGGGCAAATTCTGCCCTGAATTTACACTGCAACTCAGAAATCCCTGTTGTACGGAACGTTCGGACATGAAACCTTGACCACGCTGTGAGTGTGGACGAAGTTTGGTGAAGCATCACTTGCAAAGTTGAACGCTTTCAGGTTTCGAACCACCACAGAGGGCAGGCACGTCCGCATGGAGTCCGCAAAATGTCAGGTGGTTCATATCAATAAAACTATACATCTCAGCAGTGGTAGGAGGAAGAGGCAGGCAGGGTAGAGGGGAAGAGGGGGCACGCAGCAAAAGTAGCAAAGACCGTAGGTTGTGGTTTTGTAGAATGATGCATTTTGTAAGAGATATTTGTGGGAAGCGTGTAGAAGATATTTGGGGATGACGCATTGAGATTGCTGGCTGGATCTTCAGAGTTACGTGGACCTGAAACTCAGCAGCAGATGGTTCCAAGGAAATTTCATGTGGATAGTTTCCTATAAACTTCACACAAGCCTTTTATAAGGGTATCCACCTGGTAGCAACCCGCATGGAAATTCCCTAGATGGTGTACGAAAACTATTGCTCAGGAATGCCCAAGCTCTGAGCCGTGGCCACCAGGCAATGAATCCCAACCTTCAGATCAGAAGACCTGTGTTGGTCAGGTCCGTCGATGTTGGCGTGAGGGCCGGAGAGTGCCGGCCATTCAGTTGGATACAGGCTTGGAATTTCCAACGAATTCACATGTGGAATCACCCAATGTCCTGGAAGCCTCTAGTCACAAATTTCCAGTTGTGACTCGAGGGCATATCTCGGAATATCATGTCGGGCTAAAGACGCCAGAAACATGTGTAGGGAAAAGGCTCAAGCAGCCAAACTCATGTGGATGCTTTTGAAGAAGTGGGCATGTCCGCACATTTCATCCGTGGTCTGAGCTTCTTTTGCATCAGTGCCCAAGCAAAATTGAACATTGCTGTCAATTTACCGCGGATCAGTCGACTTTCTCCTCGTTTCGGGAGGCGGCACCCCCTGGCGCCCACATGGGGCGAGCCATGGAGGTGGAAGGCCTGTATGCGGAGGACCGTTCAAATGCCCATCCCATGAGATTTCTCAACACGTTTATGCTACAGAAGACAGAAGGTGCTGCCGAGAGAGGGGCACCAGGGCTTTCCACAATACTTGATATTTTCACCACGGCGACAGCGGTGGATGAGCAACTGCTGCCGCTGCTGCTTTAGCAGAAATTATGGAAGAAGAGTAGCAGTCATAATCTCTTTGTTGCTGTTAGTACTTGCGATGGTGGCAACAGTAGTGGCTGTAGTAGCAGTAGGTTGCAGTAGGTTGCAGTACTAGCAGAGTAGGAAGTAGCAGTAGCGGTAGAAATTCAGTAACGCGGACGGGAATGGTCAGCATTAAGCAAACCGAAGCTGCTCAATTGCTTGTGCGCTGTGACTGCGAAGGATTTGTTTGATGCCCTACAGTGGGCCCCGCAGGCAGGCTGCTACTGAGCTGCAACGGTAGTGTATGTAAGAAGAAGACATGGGAAAAAATGACTGCATGGCTGTTGTTATGTTCTCATGATCATCATTGCCGGTGGGCCGCCAGCATTCTGCTCTTAATGCGGCTAACCAGTGTAGTTAGGTTTTCGTTGGGCAAGACCTTCTTTGTGAGCGTCTGCTACCCTCCATGCTCATGCCTTGCCTCGACTGTAATCCAGGACTGCCGGGGCTGACATATGTATGCTGCTGGCAGGCAGTCGCGGCCGCTGCCATGATTGGACAAAAGGAGGAGGACTGGGGTCGCCTTCACATGCTTTCACAGCTTGCAGGCTTTTATGCCTTCTGGAGGAGGTCAGCATCGACTCCATATGTACATTCTCACCTTTTTCGAACTATGGCGTGTTTAGTGCTTACTGTGAGTGTCGTTCGCCCCTATGACACGAGAAATTTTGCTGCATGCCTGGCAACTGCAGGAGGGGGTTAGCTGCCAGAGTCGGAGGGCACCTGTAGCGTCTGAATTTCTCATGGGAACATGCCTGCAGGAGAACGAAAGGATGCAGAGTGCCGAAGGTGCCCCCACTACCCCAATCACAGAGGGCTTGAACAGAAGATATGCTAATTGCGGCTGCTAAATGAAACATGTCATGGCTTCACCACTGCCACCACCTGCTCGTGTGTAGGAATTTCTGAGGAAGGTCCGACTATGCTGAGAACTTTAGCACTTGGATCCTGTGCAATCCACCGCAGCTTGTTTTCAATCAAGACTCCTCGTGACGAGAGAGCTCTTCAGAGTATGAGTCGCGGCTCGCTCCTTTTCGCAACAACTGTACGAAATCTCTTCTTTGTGACCCCCATGCTCACCATTTTGTTTCTCAGGTTAAGGGATCGGCATCCACGAACAATGCCCCCAAGCCTGCCAACTTGCATCTGCAAATCCTTCGGCTTGCGCCGTGCTTTGGTGGGATCCTCAATTGATCTTTTGCTTGCCGTCTGTGTGTGGGAGCTGTGGCTTGAAGGGTTGACGCGTCATCAGGCGTCCATGGTCACTGGGTATCTTTACAGTTTGGTATTGCTGTCGGTGCCAGCAAATCCTCCTGACAGGACTCTCCGAAAACATCGGGATCTGCTTTAAGGATTCTTTTAGGCGAGCTTGGGACTTTCAGCCGGTTGCAGTGGCTTTGAGCGTCTGCAGCCATGCTGGCTCGAGCCAGGCAGGGGATGCAAAATGGAAGCCAGGCCACGCTCGCGCTTGAGGAAAAACCGCCGATCCCCTAAGCGAAGGCGAAGCCGCAGCCGTCCTGATCGTCCTGTGGCAACTGCTGGCCGGGGGCGAAGTCCCTATTTCGAGATGCCCAACCGTTGGAGCCGGGAGAAAGAGCCAAAAGAGGAAGAGTGGCCCAGGGCTACTGGCGAGGGTGCAAGACACAACCGGTGGAACCAGGATCGAGACCGGGGTGCTCGCGAGACTCGTGAGCGAGACATGCGAGACAACTCCTGGCATGGCTCAGGCAGCCGTGAGTCCTCGCTGCAGCCGCTGCCGCGGCCGGGCTACGACTGGGACCAGCGGCTGGCCCAGCTGGAGGATGACCCGCGTTACTTCCCAGGTGCGGAACTGGGAAAGGCGCAGAAGGCCGCGATGGGCATCAAAGGCATGCACGGTCGCAACACGGCATCCTTTGACCCACGCTCCACACTGGTGCGGCCAGCCATGCGAGTAGTATACGGCAGGAAGAGCCATGAGTTCGGGGCCAGCACGAAGCCTGACGACGTAGTGGTCGTACCTGAGCTGATCTGTGACACTGGCGACTTGGCGATTCTGAACCGCCTGGTGAAAGAACTGCAGAAGCCATCCGCTGAGGACTTGTCTGAGCCAAGCGAAGTGCCGACGATTCGGAGCCTTGGGGCGCGCATGTGCCAATACTTCCAGGTCGATCTGGACTCCGCATCCTTCCGCGTGCGCTGGCACCGAGCAGATGGCGGCAAAGCTCTGGAACTGGCGTCGCCGGGGTTCGGAAGGACGAAAGGTTCGGGAAGCTGCATGCTCAACTTGTCCCTAGGTGCGACCTGCGAGCTGGCCTTCAAGCGTGCCAAGACGGGTGAGGTCCTGTATTTCCCGCAAGCGAACGGCACGCTGATGCTGATGGGCCACGAAGTCGTCAACCGCTGGCTGCCAGGGGAGTCCAAGCGCCCAGACGGCACGCACATCTCCATCTCCGTCGCTGGCGTCAGCCGCCAGGCCGTCGAGGAGACCGCGCTGGCGGACACGGTCGCCAGTGCCACTAAGGCTGGGGTTGAGCGCAAATCAGGTGATGCGGCAGATACTTTAAGTAGATGGTGCTTTCAGCCATCAGTGTCTGCAGTGCTCGGATAGGAAAGCATGAGACGCCTGCATCTGCTGTTGGCTCTATCAAGCTGCAGTGGCGCAGGAGGGGCCTTGCAGAGACTTCCGATTTGGGCGTTGCACCTACGGCGACAACTGCAAGTTCTCACACGACCAGGAGACCTTACGATTTGCCACCATTTGTCTGATGTTGCTCCCTTGGTTTCCCGTATGCTAAGCTACCTGTCATCAAGCCATCATCCGTGAAGCTGAGACCTGTACACTTAGGCTTCTTACCCCAAAGCCCTGCCAAGCGAATTTCCATTTTGTCTTCCATTGCCCTAGATATCCCTATAACCCATTTTGTTGTCAAGAAGCAAGGAGAAGCCCAACATTTCGCGGGAGGAGGTTGTGCCGCTCTCCTGGCCCGATCGGCCCAGCATGCGCGTCATTACCGTGTGCCGGCTGTCCTCAGAATTCTGACCCTTTGTTCGAGGTACCGCTCCCTCTTAAAGCCTAGTATAATTTAAGCAGGTCACCTGACATGGGATGAGACATGTGAGCAGTCTTTTTACCATAGCCATCTTTGGCGTGTACCGTATTCGTATTCAATGCAGTGCCAGCCTCCCAAATCTGTAGATCTCAAAGCCAGCATGACGAATCCTCGCTTGCGTTGGACCTTTGGTCAAGCCCAGCATCTTCAGTGCTATCGAACCGAGGTACCTGGCTCGCGGCGTTATGCAGCCCCAGTGAAACACGACGACGTGATCGTCGTCCCTGAGTTCTTCTGCAAGGAAGACGACTGGAACACCTACTACACCCTCATCAAGGACGGCAAGGAGGTCCAACAAAGGTGGTGTATGCATTTTGTGATGCAACACAGCTTAGGCGTAGTTGAGAAGTTGAGTGGGAAGCAGTTATGTCGCAAGCTTGCATGATCTGTAGCCCGACAAGTCCTGACACCCACTCGTTTGGACATCCATGGTTTGCAGTTGGGACCCTGTGCTTGCCACATGCTCATCACTAGGAGATGCGTGAAAGCCAAGCCAAAGGTGAACGCAAGGCCATGTTCAAATTCGTCATGCTCGCCAGCATCAGCGTGTAGACCCCTGTGGCTCTCGCGTTACTATGCGCAAAATGAGCAGTTTGAGAGGGTATTGCGCAACACGGTAGTTTCTGTCAGGGAAGCTCATGCCGGACATGTAGACTGCGCTGTTCATGGGAGGCTGAGTGGATTCCTTGGCATGAGGGTGCCCATCTTCTGAGCCCCTCTGTCAGCATTGTCATCCACTGCTTCGTCAATTCTCTAAAAAGAGAAGTCAGGGAAAGCCCTGAAAGCCTCCAGGCCCCGCAAGCTGAAGCTCTTGGCTGCGTTGCCCTCAGGTCAAAATCCGACAGGCTCGGCAACATACACCAAGGCTCGGCAGACAAGATTGAAGCTAAGAGTTCACTGGTAGTGGAAGGGGGGGCTGCATCTCTAAGTTGTGACATCCTGTTGAGGATCCTGGTGACTAAGATTTCGGTTGCTGCTTGTAGGTTTCGGATCAGTGTCACAGGTTTGGAGCTAGTTCAAGGCCATTCTTTGAGGTGTGGGCGACGAAGCAAGTGCATTGCAAGTCGGATGACACATGGGAGAATCCAAGCAAGAACTTCAGTTGTAGCCCGTTGAATATGTCTTGAGCAAGAAATTGAGTGCCCCCTTCGGTGGACCAATGAGGGTTTCGCTTCAAGGGCCTTTTAACATGGTTTTCTTCTGTTTGCGCAGGCAGAGATCCCTAAGTGCTTGCTGGTGGTGCTCTTTGCAATCAATTTTGCAAAGTTCACGTAAGGTCGTGGAGCGGATGTGCAGCGCAGCTGCAACGTCTTGCTTTTCTTTCTTGTGGTAAATTCATGAACTGAGACTTGATGCAGCGGCAAGGTGCAGGTTGTAGCAGGTAGGTCTTCACCAGCATCTGCTGGCAGATCTTGGTCCCCTCTGCTGCAAAACAAGGTGACTACTTCAAGGCAGCTGAGGGGAATCGCGGCACGCGCTTCAACTGGTACAGGGACGGATCTGACTGGAAGCCCTTCCATCATGACTCTGCTGCTTTGCTGCCAAGAGCTCTAGTGGGTCCCCAGTCTTTTGTTGGCTTCAGGAAGGTAATGGCTAAGTCCCGTAGACACGCCCGGCCTTGCTCCTGAACTGGCCCTTACTTTCCTCCACAATCCTCATCCATCCATGCTTTTCCTCCCTGGCCCTTGGGGGTTGGCATGTTGGTGCGGACTTTCCTCGGAGGGTAGCTAGGGTAATTCTTCAGAACAGCCCACCCGGCAAGCTCGATCGAAGCCAGAACATGTCATTCAAATTACGCACCATTGATACTTGGGAGGCTGCGTTCAACGAAGCACGCGCTGCGACCCAGAACTGCAGCCAGGAGTGTATTACTCATGTGCCACTGCGACTGCCGTTGTGGCAGCTCCGACATCAAGTCTTGTCCTTGCACAGTTCTGAGGGCAAGCATTTGTTTGCATTTCGTGGTGAAACTCTTTGAGTAAGTTCATTTTGCTTGTTTGTCTTGCCTTGGGAACATAGCCTGGCCAATTTGAACGATTTTCACCTACCGGGAAGTGGTGAACCGAGCATAGCAACGGGACGAGCCCATCAACAGTAACTTGTCAAAGCCGCATGATGCAATGCTAAGCCAGATACAGCAGGGGGATGGGGCACACGGTTGTGTGCTCTGCCGCCGTTCTGCGCCCCTCCTTGACCTCTCATATAAGGAATCGATGAAAAAGAAAGATCAAAGGAACTTGAAGGAACTTCAGAGAATTATACGGAACAGTATGCAAGGAAATGCAGTGGAAGTCGTTCTAGCAGAAGCCATATGAAAGTAGATAAAAGATTTACGAATCATGTTGCGCTTTGTACAGGGAACAAAGAGTACTAACAGCTAACCGCTAACCCAAGCCCCTACTGCCCTGTGGCGTGGTGAATTGAGTGCAGAGCAAGGAATGAAGGAATGGATCCCTACGTTATCCCCAGTAATGTAGCAGTTTCCATTTTGTCTTCCATGCCTGCATTCCTTACTAGCCACGCGGCCTGCAGTTATGAAACTGATGCCCTCGACACCTCCCAAGGCACTGTTGGTATCTCCTTCGGAGCCTCACGGGAGTTGGCCTTCCGGCATGCGAAGACCGGGGAGCTGAGCCACAGCCAGCGCTTAAGAAGATGGCTTGGAGAGAGTGTGTGGATGTCAGGGACTTCAGTCTGGTACCAAGCCCCATGCTTGAGTCCAATGATGTTCTCTATGGGTTCCTAACATGAATTGGCAACATTCCCAGAAAGACTCGCCGTGTCGAGGATTCTTTGGGATTGAGACGGATTTTGCCAAGGTAAGATTACAATGGGCGATTCATGTATAGCCCATGTCTTCCAGATGGCAGGGCTTGGGCGCGGCAGGCTTCAGGGAACTTTGGGACTGGGGTTGTTGTTTCATTCGGATTCAGGATCTACTTTCCGCAGAAGAATGGCATGCTCTTCTACTTCGGCCGCGATGCGACGCCCGGCTGCTTGTTAATACGGCACATTGCGGCATCACATGCTGTTGGTTATTTTCACATGCCCAGCCCGTTGGACCTGCTTCTTAGCCTTCAGGAATATCATCTGGCAGCACGGCATCAACGCTCTGCCGGATCAGGAGCAGGACGGGAAGGGCCGGATCTCCATCATCTGCTGGTGCATGTGCCAGCTTGGCATGGAAGAGAAGGGCTCGCCGGGTATGCTAACTGATGAGTCGCGGGGCACCTTCAGCATGCATGGGAAGGGCAAGGGCAAGGGGAAAGGAAAGGCGGTAGATGGAGTCTGCCGAGACTACCAGAGGGGATCCTGCTCCTACGGCGACAAGTGCAGGTTTTTGCACAGGGGCTAAGCTCTCACCGGGCAGCGCTGCCCGCAGGGGGTCTTGGAGGGTGGCAAGTCTTGCGGGGCACGAGTCTTTGCAGTACCCAAGATGTTCTCACCAGAGCTGGTCGTCCGACGCCCTTGTTGGTACGGCGGCTGCGAAAAGGTCGTGTCAGGAATGAGCATGAGCACTCAGGTAGTGCAGGCCACATGTAGCTCCTGGACATGACTGGCTGTGAGTTGCAAGCTGCTAGAACATTGAAACGGATGCCCTGCAGTGCCGTGCATGATTCCTCTGGCTCGAGTTAGTAGGCTGTTGCGGCAGTCGCGGTGGCCTCCCCGTCTTGCTGTCCCACGTACTGCACGCGGTCTTCAGCCTCTGTGGCAGTGAGACTGCTCGACAAAGCTGGAGCCATGATGGTTTTGAACAGGATGGGTTGACCTGGAGCAAGCGGTGTCATCCAGGTGCAGAAGCTATTCGTGACATTTGCATCGGGTGAGACCGGAAGCTAGGAAAGACATTGGCTGCGCTGTGAGACCAGCCAGGATTGTGCAGTTCACATGAAAGCCTTCAAGGCGGTCAGTAACGCTCCAGCTTCTTCTGTTGTTGGATCAGCAGCTCGCACTTCAACGCTAGCCTCATTTCCGGCTCTGGATTTTGCACGTCATCCTCGCCTAAGTTGGATCGGAGTCAGAGTCCTTCCTTGGACATGCTGCCTATACCTTCGTAAGCTGAGAAAACAAGTAGAACGTGCCCAGAAGCTGCAGAGACGAGGCTACAACCATGCTAGCTGCAAAAAGCCGACTGCACCCTACCCAGAGGAGCCTGGGTCCGTAATGTTAAGCGGTGATTCGGGTTGCACTCGTGAGTCGCTGCAGCCGCTGCCGCGGCCGGGCTACGACCGGGACCAGCGGCTGGCCCAGCTGGAGGATGACCCGCGTTACTTCCCAGGTGCGGAACTGGGAAAGGCGCAGAAGGCCGCGATGGGCATCAAAGGCATGCACGGTCGCAACACCGCATCCTTTGACCCACGCTCCACACTGGTGCGGCCAGCCATGCGAGTAGTATACGGCAGGAAGGGCCATGAGTTCGGGGCCAGCACGAAGCCTGACGACGTAGTGGTCGTACCTGAGCTGATCTGTGACACTGGGGACTTGGCGATTCTGAACCGTCTGGTGAAAGAAGTGCAGAAGCCATCCGCTGAGGACCTGTCTGAGCCAAGCGAAGTGCCGACGATTCGGAGCCTTGGGGCGCGCATGTGCCAATACTTCCAGGTCGATCTGGACTCCGCATCCTTCTGTGTGCGCTGGCACCGAGCAGATGGCGGCAAAGCTCTGGAACTGGCGTCGCCGGGGTTCGGAAGGACGAAAGGTTCGGGAAGCTGCATGCTCAACTTGTCCCTAGGTGCGACCTGCGAGCTGGCCTTCAAGCGTGCCAAGACGGGTGAGGTCCTGTATTTCCCGCAAGCGAACGGCACGCTGATGCTGATGGGCCACGAAGTCGTCAACCGCTGGCTGCCAGGGGAGTCCAAGCGCCCAGACGGCACGCACATCTCCATCTCCGTTGCTGGCGTCAGCCGCCAGGCCGTCGAGGAGACCGCGCTGGCGGACACGGTTGCCGGCGCCACTAAGGCTGGGGTTGAGCGCAAATCAGGTGATGGCAATTCTGCGTTGTGCAAAGATGATGTACACCTTGTGCGATTCTTATGATTGGGTTTCTGTCAAGGAGGAGGGGGAGCAGAGCTCACCGCTCTCCTGGCCGGATCGTCCCGTCATGCGTGTGATCACAGCAAGCTGGCCTGATTTCTGGCTGTAAGGTAGTTGTAGGCTTGCAGGGGTCGTTAGCTGTTCTGGTAGTTGCAGTGTTGACGGCCATTCCCGTTGAAGTATGAACGGCTGAACAACAGGCAGGAACTCAGCCGCGCCATATGTTCTCAAGGTCCCGGCTTCCCGCCGCTACATGTCGCACGTCAAGCATGACGACGTGATAGTGGTGCCGGAGTTTTTCTGCCAGGAAGATGATTGGAACATTTACTACGCCCTCATCAAGGCCATCAGTTGCTTCAGAGCCAATGCAAGTTAAGTTCTGTAATGGTTGTGCAGACCTGCCAGAATGACCTCTTCTTGTGGCAAGGAGATGCGCGCAAGCCAGGCCAAAGGTGAACGTAAGGCGCTGCCACTGCTCTGGGTTAAAGATGTACTGTTGCCTGCAAAATGCTGCCGTCCAGGAACTCAATGCCAGGTGCATAAAGCAAGTAGCCCCACAGTTCACAGAACTTGAAGATGAGATCTATGTTTTGGTTTCAAAGCTGCCATTGGTCCTATCGCTCGAGACTGTTGCCTCGGTGCTCACTTTTGTTTGGAGAGTGAGAGGCTCAATGGATGTCATGGCATGAGGGCGCGCACTTGCTCAGCCCCTCGGCCACCTCCATCAGCTGTACTGTCCGTGCTGTGGCCATGGTTTCTGCCCTAACTGCCCCTCTAACTTCTAGCAGTAGTAAGGTTGTTACTTTTGAAGATCAAACTCATGTCAAGCCAGCGGTGACACATTTCCAGTCACGTTCCACACAATGCAATTGGAGTTTTGGGCTGGAGTGGTCTTGATCGAGGTCAGAACCCAACTGGCTCAGAGACATACACCAAGGCTCGGAAAGCCTTGAATTGACTCGTGCCATTGTTAGATCTAAAGTGTTTGGGCTTCAAGCGGAAGAGTCGGGGGCAGAACTGTCTTGGGAAGGATTTGGAGGTGGTCAATGAAACAAAGCTCAGCCTCGCGATAGCAGCAGGGTGAAAAGACACCGAATACGTGGACCCTGCAGACAGGTCTTAGATCTGCTAATACGCCTGCAGATGTACTGGTAGCAAATGTTGGCCGAAGGGTGTGGGGGCTGGGGAAGAACTCGGTGCCAGTGCAGAATACTACTCGTAGTTACCTACCAAGTAGTGCTTTTGGAAACCACGGCCTCAACAAACCATGCAACTTGTCGAAGATCTTTTACTTTAGTTGGTATGTTGTGTACTGGCCCATTCTTTAGATGCTCCCATGTAGGGCCAGTGTTCTTGCACCGTTGCAGCATACCGCTGGCGCAAGGTTGTGGAGCGGATGTGCTACTTGGCGTAAAGTTCCTTCATTTTGCAAACTGCGATTTGTAGTCAATATGAAGTATTAGTCTTTTGGGGGTTTCTAGAAACAATGGGTATATGAGGGGACCCTTTATCATGCCTTTGGACGGCCGAGTTCCTGAAGCCTACTCGGTAAGAAGACAAAAAAAGTGCTGGGGCTTTAGCTTGCCATGCGCGTGCGCCGTGCGCCTACCCCAGCTTTCATGAGCACTGCGCCCTGGAGGGGCTAGCGAATCCCTCAGGTCGGAAAGTATCCTTTCGTGAGGCTATTCTCTGTTTACAGTCTTTCAAAAGAACCTGTGCAGCCTGCGCATTATGAGGTAGATACTTCAAGGCAGGGAAGGGCAACCGCGGCACTCGCTTCAATTGGTACAGAGATGGGTCTGACTGGAAGCCCTTCCATCATGACTCTGCTACTCTGCTGCAGGAGGTTGGTTCTCATTATTTCTTCTCAGAAAAGCTTTCAACACACCAATTCCCAAGCCTCCCTTGCTTTATTCGACTTGACTTTGGGTCTTACTACCTCCACATACCTCCACTTTCCCAGGGACTCAGGGAGGGCTTTGGTGGTGATTCCCGACTTATGCAATGTCCTCCCATTGTCCATCAGATCGAAAGATGCCAAGCCCTCAGCGCATGGAAGGCTGCTTTCAACAAAGCCCGCGCAGCAAACCAGAATTGCACCTTGCAAGCAATTATGGAGATCCCCTCAGGCGAGGTTGATTCGGGTTCGCGTCGGGTGCTGGCAGGAGGGCTCTCCCCCAACCCCAGCCGTCAACAGATTCCTCACGTTTAACATCTCTAGATTTCTCTGCGCTTTCACATCTGTGTCGTTGTGTGATGAGGCGCTTCAAGCACATCAGCCTCTTCACGCAATGAAAAACAATCCTTTATGCCAGAAGTTTCAACACTCCTGTATCAGGCCAGTCGAATTTCATGTGAGGTAATGAGTAGTAGCAAACATTATGATAGCAATAACTAAGTAACAGTACTGATGCAGAAGCTGAGCAAAGCGTGAATGACAGGATGTCACTCTTTCATGCTGTGCTACGAGTGGTAGCCTGAAGAATTCGTTCTTCTCATCGTGTTTATACTTACCTCAAGCCTGTATGTTGCTTTTGGTTCCAAAGTACAGTCAGTGTCGCGCTCTGAGCTGAGGTTTTACATGACACCCAACACCTTAGCACCCTGAATCAGGGCACTATCCCTATATTATACTCTATATTATACCCGTATATTCTACCCCTATACTATACCCTTACATTATACCCGTATATTACACCCCTATATTATACCGTTATATAACCCCAATATACTATAGTAGTTTGAGCAAAGGGTCCCATCTTGCAGATCCTCATAATCAGGAAGGTAAGGAGGTCCCATCTTTGAGGCCCTGAACCTGGGGATGTATTGGGATAATGGAAAAGAACATGGAAACTACTATAGTATATTGAGGCTACATAGGAGTATAATATAGGAGCATCATATAGGAGCATAATATAGGGTATAACATTGGGATCATGGCTCCAACTGCATGCGCAAAAAGAAACATTGAACTCAAGGCACTATTGGCATCTCCTTTGGTGCCTCGCGGGAGCTGGCTTTCCGCCACGCGAAGACGGGAGAGCTGACGCCTGGCATGTACCCTAAGTAAAACCCTTATATTATTCCCCCATACTATACCCTTATATTATACCCTGTATTATGCTCCTATATTATGCCCCTAGGTAACCCCAATATACTATAGTAGTTTCCAATTTCTTTTCCGTTATCCCAATACATCCTCGTTAGTAAGATGATTCCTTGCTGAGCTTCAGAGTGATTAGTGTAGTGCAGTGCAGTGCAGACAAAAAAGGAAGCCTTCCGGCTTGCTAGGCTGTGGACTGTGTGCTGGCAAACTGTTGCCAGAGTTTCATCGTCTCATGCGACTGCACTTTTCGAGGGATCTTTGGGTGAAGACTGGAAATCCTGTGCTGATCAAGAGAATCCTGAACCCTCCTGTCATGCGTGCGCCATGCTCGGTAGCAGGCTGCATCTTCAGGCAATGAGCTCTTTCTGCCAGAATCAGGATCTACTTCCCACAGAAAAACGGCATGCTCTTCTTCTTCGGACGAGATGTGACACTGGGCGGAACTTGTTGTCTGAAGGGCGATGGGGTGCACATGTGAGTTCCAGCAGCAAGTTATTGCAGCAGCGTACGTGGTGGGTTAGCAATGTTGGCATGCCCGGCAGGTTGGACCTGCTTCTTACCTCTAAGGAATATCACTTGGCAGCACGGCATCAATGCTCTGCCGGATCAGGAGCAGGACGGGAAGGGCCGGATCTCCATCATCTGCTGGTGCCTGTGCCAGCTTGGCGTGGAAGAGAAGGGCTCGCCGGGTATGCTAACTGACGAGTCGCGGGGCGCCTTCAGCATGCATGGGAAGGGCAAGGGCAAGGGGAAAGGCAAGGGCGGAGGCAAGGGCAAGTATGGCAAGTCGAGGACAAGTACAAGGTCAAGATAGATGGACCTGTGATGGAGGATGGTGCTCAAGAGCTATTCACTCTTCGTGCCAGCTCCTAGAGTGGCTGTATGCCTCCAGGTTCAAGAACAAGCTGCCAGTCCACGAGCTGCACGGGGGGCGCGGAATTGGAGGCATAAATAAAGATTTTCGGAAGCTCGCTGAGACAACCGTACGATTCCTGCAGATTGGCTTTGTGGATGGCAGACCGGTAACAAAATGTGAAAAGCCGCGAGTGGGACTCGCAAGGAAACGGCAGGCTGCAGATTGGATTCAGCGCGGTTCTATCAAGTGTTGTAACGAGAAGTTGGCATGGTGGCATCAAAAAAGCCCTGCACAGCACAAACATGAGCACGGCAGTTTTCAGTCCAAAAGCACTGTATGACCAAGACATGCAACTACTCGAAGGTCAAATGGGTTTGATTCAAGAGGTAGGGTCAGTGAGAACAGATTTTTGCTTGCTAAGTCGAATGCTCCGCGGCTTCGCTGACGCGGCCGCTTCTGACGTCTGCTTGGCAATTTCATTTTGCATCTCACAGTTGCGTACTTGTTGATAGGACTGGTCACGACAACCCAGTGCAGTCTTTAGTTGGATGCAGTATAATGCATTCTTGCAGCAGACTGGGCCGCTTGATTCGCTCGCTTTGCGAAGCTTGCTGTCCCCAGCCCTCAGACTCTTCGTTGAATGGCAGCTGCAAACATACCGCATAATCGGACCTAGTTGCTGATGGGCTGTTCGTGTTTCCGTGCGGGAAAAGCGATCATTCACGGCCTTCTGCATTACAGCAAAACAGAAGTGCATCCTACGCGAGTGGAAAACATGGAAGACACAACCAGAAACGGCCTCACCTGCTGCAGTTTAGTTTCACAAGTGTCGCTGAGAGCTGCCGCGCTTCGCTACATCTACTCATTCCGATTTCATCTTGCTTTGCTGTTGGTTCTGAGGGCCCAAGGGTTCGAAAGTTGGCCCCAAGCCTCTTCCCGCTCAATGCCAGCATGGCCCTGACGGTATGGGACTGAGAAACATGCATGTGCTTCTTGGTGCCTGTGCAATGCAAGCTGAAGCCGGAGAGCAGCTGTTCAGTTGAGCTGTGTTGGGCTTTGGTTTGTCAAGATGCCCAGGAAAACCATGCTGCAAGATGGAAGTACCACACACTGCACTTGCCAACAGGTCTTGTGGAAATGGCCTTTGGTCAGGCATGCCGGGCAGTTTTGTTTTAAGGGCTGGCCAACATGTTCAAATCCTGGCAGCAAAGCAAGCTTGCGAGGTCTTTGGACTGCATGTATCCAATGCTCGTTCGCAGTGAGCTGCATGAAAAGATGCATCCAACACTTGGTACGCTAGGATGAGCACAAAAGATGGAGAGGCATCCACAGCATGCATACCGGATTCTTGCAGGGCCCTCTTTGCCGCCTACTTCGTCCAGCTCGCTGAGTCTGTGGCGGTCTGGAGCTCAAGCAGAGTCATAAAAAGGCTCGGGACACCGAGGACTGCTAGTAGGACCGCGAGCTTCTCATACTCAAATTTTGGTTCCCATGCAAACCCAGGTCGAGAGCCAGCGACATGTACATCTCGACAGCCGAGGATACCTCAGAGTAGTTCCTTGGGAAGCACCAGAGTACAGGTGATGCCAAGCTGCCTGTCGGGCCGATGCCAAGGAAAAGGTAAGAACGAGAATCCCCACATATTCCCACGGATTCCATTTCATTTTCCATTTTCTTTTCCATTTCATTCTCCCCGTATGAACTTAAACATGTTTGATGCACATGTAGCTTCCTCAGGCGCCATCGCCTTCACCGGCTATGGCAGCCTCGCCTGCGCCAGCGGCGGCCATGGCAGGGTCGCCTGCTCCTGCTGAGCCTGCGGCGCCAAGGTTTGGTAGGGTTGGGGACAAAGAGGACAGAATAATATATACCCTAGTAATCCCTATATAACCCCAATGTACTATAGTAGTTTCCATTTCCATTATCCCAATAACCCCAATATATCCCCTATAGAATCCCTATAAGCCAGAAGCCCAGAAGTGAGCTGCATGGCTCATCCTGCCTTCATGCCTTCATAATGTGCTCGGATCTGTCTAACTTGCAGGAAGCAGCAGCCGCTGTTCCCAGTCCAGTACAACCTAGACTTGTCAAGGGCTCAGTTGGGCCTGGGGAAATCTGACCGTGAGACAGAGCTGAGCCACAGTGTTCATGTCCTGGTTCTACCCCTCAACATTCCGGGGGCCAACTTGCTTCCAAGAGAATCTCAGGACCCTTAGCAGGAAGATGTGACCTGCGCAGCCTGTTGATCCGGGTATTTCACACGTAGGGAAGGCATTCCTCCAAATTCTCCTGCACGAATCCTCGCAGATGAAGTGCTGAGTTGGGTAGGGATTCCAAGAAGCTCCCCTGCGTAGTCCAGAAGTCAGCCGGATACAGTGAGGTCGTCTTGCTTACTGGTTCTCAGTAGGGAAGAAGGGAATATACTCCCTACATCATCCCTAATTATATAAGATACTCCCATATTCCGTGCTATAACCCCAATATATACCCTATTATGAGCAGTAGTTTCCAGTTTCTTTGCCATTATCCTTATATCTCCCAAATATATTCCAATATTCCCTACTAAGAACCTTGATCCCTATACAATTACTCCCATATTCCCTATTAAGAACCAGTAAGCTAGTGTTCCCAAGGTTAGGAGTTACAACACCACCCCCCCAAATGTAGTCCCGCCCCCCCCTCCCCCCCCCGCCCGGGTCTAAGGAGCTTATAAGGATTATATGGAGCTTAATAA